ATTTTTTTTTGCAGATCATAAGATCGACGAATTTCCAACACTGGGTGTCAGTGACATTCCGATTGAAACTTTCGAGTTATGATCCTAACTGGACTACTATTTTTCACAAAGGCATGCTTATTGGTTAAAATTGGTTTTTTTAGAATCTTGTCTAACTGGTGCTTTCTCGGTTTCAACATTTAGGTAATAGTGATACAGTCTGCACACCTGTGATTTGGATGTGTGGAGAGAAACTGGATGCTTACTTTTCAGGCAACTGGAGTGGTTATGTAGCAATTGACTGCTCAACTACTCCCCCACTTTCATTAAACAAATGGTACCATATAGCTTATACAATTTCTGATTCTGAAAAAAGATTAGATCTTTACATAGACGGTGAATTGGCCAGGTGCTATAGTCTTTATGATGTTAAAACGGAAAATATTCTGTTCAATGATGGACCACTATATATTGGAAAAGCTCACTCCTATGATGCGGTTAATGGAGCAATCAGGTGTGATTTGTCATACTAATGAAGTTGATCCAAATCACAAAAATATTAAATTATCATTCTATCAAATAGTAATTTTCGTTATCATAACTGGCGCTTATCTGTTAAAGAAGTGAAGAAAGATTTTAATGGCGATAATAAAATTGAAGAATTACTTGAAAATAACCAACAATGGTCAAGTGAAATAAGTACAATAAAGAATTTTTTGATAAACTTAAAAAACAAGAACCAAAAGTTCTTTGGATCGGTAAAGCTTAAATTGATTTTTATTATTATAGTTATAAAAATAGTATCTGGTGGAGATAATTTATTTGTTCATTCATTCATTCATTCATTATAGGATGTTCTGATTCTAGCGTTCCGCCTGAACTCATCACTAAATCAGGATTTGGCGAATTATTTGTGCATCGTAACATAGCAAATCAATTCAACCCCAATGATGCCAATTGCTTGTCAGTGTTAGAATATGCTGTCAATCATTTGAAGGTTTCTCATATTGTTATCTGTGGTAAATAATAATAACAAGTTTTGATTTAAAACATTCAATTCTTTTTAATGAAAATGATAATATCTTTTTATCCCTCTTTAGGTCATACAGGTTGTGGTGGAGCAAAAGCTGTTTTGAACCAAGCCTTGAACCTAATCTAGAAAAATGGTTGGAAGGAATACGTGAATTGAAAGCAATAAACTCTGATTTCTCTCACACCAATCCATATTTTGATACTTCTGCAGCTCAAGACAAATTGGTCAAAGCTAATGTTGTGAAGCAAGTGGAAAAAATTAGTGAAAATTATCTTGTTAAATCTGCTAAACAAAAAATACAAATTCATGGATTTGTTTTTGATTTAAAAGATGGTTCATTATTAAAGGTTACATAAACATTGACTCAAAATAAATATAGCAAAACACACACAAACAAATAATAATAATTGATTTTTGTTAATAAAGTTCACCAAATCATAACAATCATAAATCATTTTACAATGAGAACATTGCCAAATCCTATCAAATACAAAATGGCTGTAACAATAATAACTGACTATTGTTAACACTCGGTAGTTAACCAACATTAATTCCAACTTTTGCTTACTAATTAAAGCAAATAAAACATAACTTTTACTAAACGCTTCGCTTTAAACGAAAAATAAACTAAAATAAAAAAAGTGGTAAAGGTTTAGGATTTATTTAAAAAGATAATTTGAATGTTAATGTTTTTAAACGAGGTCCCGAAATTGTTCCATCATTTGTTGTTTATAATACAGTACAGGTTGATGATGAGATAAATAAATAAGATAATAGTAAACATCATCCTAAATTTATAAATTATAAATTTTATTTTCATAACGCCATTTCTGGTGAATTTTACCACCATAAGCATATTGTGGTAATATATATATAGTGCCCCCAAAAACCTCTGGTCAACTATCATAATTCATTTTATTTTTTGACTATTAGTGTTCGTTTCCAAATTATAGAAACTGGTTCAACTTTTGACTTTTGTTTTAGTTTTGACGTGTAACTTTTAATCTGCCTCTCCAAAATAGTTTTAAAAATAGGTTTGACAATTAATACTGTTGAGAAGGTATGAAGAAGCGTGGGCAGGTTTAAAAAAACAAATTTTATCTAAATTTTCAAAGTTGCCACCACCAACAGCAAGATTTACAAAACTGATCGGTCCCTTCTCTAAACTACCCACCATATTAGTATTTTGCCGTTGTGCTGGATATATCGTATCTGTTTACTTTAAAGAAAAATTTATTATCTGTTGAATCAAGTGAATTTATTGGTTTTTTCCAGAAAAGAGAAAAATCACTTATATAGAATTGTATGAATTTGTGTATATTTTTTAAGAGTATGAGGCCTTTCAATAGAAACGGACCATGTTGTGAAAAAAGCAACTTTGAGTTAATATCGCTGCTATATGTAACTCCTCATGTAGAACATTTTGGCTTGGAAACTATATCCGTTTTACTTGATAAAATTTTGGGATACCTTTCTAAAGTTTTAAAAACAATATTAAATTGCTTGAAATGCAGACCTTTTTTTTAATTCTCAAAATAACATGGTCCGTTTCTATTGAAAAGCCCCATAAGTGTACCTATTATTTATATAAGTTGTAATACACTTTATTATCTATCTAGTTTTAAATTATCTCATATAAATTGGTGATCAGATTGCTGAAAAACTAGCGATATTATATACCTCATAAAATTCTGGCATTTCCAATGATTATTACATGATTTCCAAACTGAATTTTGACTTTATTTATATAAATGACCTAAAACTGTTGAGGTCGATCGCAATGGTTTTTTTATTAAATGATTTTAAATGACTTTTTTTTATTTAACCTATTAGCAGACTTGATTATTTATACAAGGTTAAAAATATTTATTATAATTTTATAATTATTAGGATTAGGATCAGGATTAGTGGTAGCATAATAAATAAATAATGGTAAATAAGTTGAAATTCTATAATTATTGATGTATATATTGTCTATATATAATATATATTATTACATTTCTTGTTTAAATGTTCTCGTGAATTTTCCCAATCTCATTTTGTATTTGATCTATAAAAAAATAGAAATTAAAACATTATTAATTTTAACAATAATTAAGAAAAATCCCAAGTTTTTTTTAGTTACCTGCAAGATGATAATCTTCATGACCCACGGCCTCTTGTAATCTTTTTTCCAACTCTTCAAGACGAACTTTATCATCATCATTAACAACTTTATTATTCACTAAATTGATTGATAAATTAATAAAATCATTTTAAAAATCGTAAATCATCATTTTTAAAATTAAAATGTTTTTTTGTACAAACATGAATTTTCCAAATTATTTTGATTTTGATGATTGTTCATTAATTTATTTTCTTTCGATAAATCTCCTTTATCCTCCACGCCACCTTGTTTATCACTCAACAATACACCACCACCACACCTTAATTTAATATTTTCAATACGATATTCTATTCCTTTGATTTCATGTTTTAATAGTTCTTGTAATATTGTCAAATTTTTTTCTACTGATCTGAATATAATAAATAATTTATAAGAATTTTTGTCTTTATATTAGAAAATTGAAAATAATATGTGAAGTGTGTGATTATTTATATATTAGAGAAATACATACAAATCATATTTTGATCGAAGTTGTAGCAATATTTCTTGTAATTCCTCACGTAACTCAGATCCTATGATTTTCAAAGAACAAAAATTGTCAGTAGTTAAAAATCAAAATCATAAACATCAATATCATAATAATCATAATCACAATTATCTTCATTAATTAATTAATAAAACTGAAAATTTTACCAATTTTTTCCTCGATTTCAACCAACTCTAAATTGTAATGTTCCAAATTTTCTCTTGCTTTTCTCAAATTTTCTTGATCAATTCCTAAACTTGAACGTTTTAATTCTAAATATTTTTGACGTTCATCTTTAGTTGCCAGTAAGTCCTTAATTCGACTTGATAATCTTCCAGCAGACTTAAAATCCCTTCCTTAATATTAAAGTTATTAATAGATCAATTAATAAATTAATTAATTCGTTTGTTTGTTTTATTAAAAAAAATTTTTTTACCAGAAACTGCTAATTTTTTTTGTTCTTCTAAAGATGGTATTTGAGTGTTGATTGCTGTAATATCTTGTTGAATTGTTGAATATGTTTGTTGGTCTTGTATAACTTTAGATGTTAAACGTTTAACTTCGCTATCGATTTCTTCTAACTTCTTCCTAACACTTTACATTAATAATTAACGATATGTTATTATTATCATCATTATTGACAATAATGCATATCTACGTACTTTGATATTTCTTTTTCACAATCAAAATCTCTTTGAGCTCTATCTTTTAACATTTCAACTAATTTTTCAATTTCAATAAATTCTTCATTATAAATTTTATTATTAATCTTAATTTCAGCTATATGTTTCTCCAATAATTCCAATTCCAATCTGCGCGAGTCATATTGTTTATTATAATGCTCTAATCTTTGATGTAATTTATTTTCTTGTTCGTCTACTAGTCTCTATAAACAAAAAATTTTATTATGATAAAAACAGGTATTAATAAAAACAACAATAACAACAATAATTTTTCTAATTATTAATAATTGTAATTATTACCAAATTGTTTTCAATTTCAATTCCTCTTTTGTCTAATTCAAATTTTTCTCTTGCTAGTGATTCTCTGTCAGTGTTAAATTCTTGACTTAGGCTTTCTATTTTTTTATCAATTGCACCAATCTGTTGACTAAAGTCGTTTTCTTCAATTTTCAATTGTTCAATTTGTTTTAATAGATCCAAAATTTTCATCTTAATAATAACAATATTATGTGTATCAATATTGATAAATATAATAAATATATATATATATATATTAATAAAATAATTTACTTTAATTCCTTCTTGCTTATTCACTAATAAATCCCGTTCCAATTTCTCGTCTCTTGTTTTCTCATCAATTTTTTCATTTAATTCTGATTCTTCTTTACTCCATAAGTCTAAATCTAACACAATATTGCTATTTTGATGAATATTACTATTAGAATTTATTGCATTCTAATTTATTAAAAATCATTCGAAATCAAACCTTCTCTCTTTTTCAATTTCTTCTCTCAATTTATTAATATGACTATCTTCAACAGTATGTAAATTTTCCATGTCTGCTTTAAATTGCCTTAAATATTCATCTTCTTGATTCTAAATAATAAATATTATCATCACGAAAATTAATATCAGATTATAATACCAATTATTATTGTAATATATATTATTACTTTTTGTGTTGAAAGTTCCTTCTCTAATCTTCCATTCAACTCATTAATTTTTCTTAATAAATTAATTTGTTTTCCAAATAATTGATTCAATGTTTTATCAACATTGGACAATAAATTCTTTTTCTGCATCATGAATGATTGTAGTTCTTTTATTTTTTTGTGTTAGTCGATCAGCAATTGCATAATCCTCTTTTGTTAAAGAGTTTGCTTGGTCTGTCTCTAATGATTTCATTTTTTGCCAATTCTAACAATTCATGAAAAAATCGGAAGAGGGTAAGTAAACGAATAAATAATTGTAAACTTGTGAATATATAAACTTTTTCTATTATTACTATCTAGATTTTTATTTACCTCTATTAAATTTCTATAAATTTCATTCCTATTATCATATAATTGTGATTGAGTTGTTGATAATTGATTTAGTTCTTTGTATAAATTTGATAATTCCATTTCTATTTGTTCTTTAAATGATCTTGGTGATGGATGCGATAATTGATTTGGTGTTGGTGGTGTTGGCGGTGGTGAACTTAGCATTGAAGAAAAAGTTGATTGAGAAATTTGTTGCAGTTTAGGAATCATTCCAATAAAATTAGAAAACTTTGATTGTGATGTTAATGTTGGGATTATATTATTATAATTATAATTATTACTATTACTATTACTATTACTATTACTATTACTATTACTATTACTATTGTTATTATTATTGTTGTAATTAGCATTGGAATTGTCTAAGTCAATGCCAAGTTCTTCCAATGAAACTTTATTATTTGCTTTAGGTAAAATTTGACGAGACTTTTTTGAATTCATGGAGTTTGTATGATTATTATGATTTTGTTGAGATTGATAAACAAAATTAAAATCTGAGTTTTTTTTTATTGTCATGCAATAAAAAAAGTATAATAAATATTAAATTTATATTGTGTGTGCGTGTATAATACAAAACTTGGAAAACCAATCAATCACAAACCTCCAGGTGTAATTTCATCAAAGTTATTCAGAGTTGAATTTCTTTCATTATGTGAATTATGGTTACGGTCACGATTATGATTATGATTAATGAAATCAAAATTTGTTTTTTCAGAATGATTTGGTGATGAAATTTCTCCTTTAGATTAATTAATTAAAAATTTTTTGTTTAAATTTAAAACATTAATTATTATCATTATCATTAAATATAATCACTATTATTACCATTATATGAAAATCTGAAAGCTGATGTCTTGTTGGGGTCTTCGACAATTTCACTTAATGATATATTATTGAATTTAGATGATGATGGTGATGATGGTGATGATGATGATGATGACGATGACGGTAATTCAAATGAATTGCCAGTGATAAATTGTAAATTGGAAATAGAACTTGCTGATTAGATCAAAGATTTTGACGAATACGGTGATGGTAAATAATATTGAGGACGAGAAAGGTGGGGATTATAAAAATGTTATAATTATGACACAGATATTATAATATAATTAATAAAGTTAGGACCAAATAAGTTAAAACTAACCCATTTGCTTGGTAATAGTGTCCCATTGAACACTTGAAGGATGATCTGGTAGAATGGGTGGGAGTGAAGGTGTTTGCTGATGTTTTGAAAAAGATTGTTGTTGTGTCGTTGTGGTTTTTGCAGTTTTTAGATTTAAATCTGCAAATAAGTCATTTTCCTCTTCTGCTTCTTGAGTAGCAGCAGCATTTTCATTGTTTACAGTTTCTTTAAAAGTTTCCATATATAAAAATCGATAAGATCTGCAAAAAATTTTTTTGGGCGGAATCATAAAAGTATTACATGTACCTAAAGGAGCTATAACGATGATGCTAGAGGGTAATCCATCCGGCGTCTTTTTTAAAGCTAATTCAAGGTTAAAAGTGTGTCTTGTACATGGTTCTGAACTCAGGAATGGGTCAATAATTTAAGTAGTTTAATTAAAACCAATTAAAAGCAATAGACAACGAAAAACAAAAGGCTTCATCCATATATTTAAATAATGCAACTGCGCTTTGCGTGAAATGTGGCAATTTTTCAATAAAGACTTGATTGATAGTTTTGTTAAAGAATAGAAGTAAAAGGCATTTTTTAGAGACTCACAATGGATGATCAAGTCACGAGATATTCACAAAAATCACATATAGCGAATATGATGATGGCTTTTCAAAAAAGCTGTAATTGTGGTTGTTCATCAATGTCTCAAAAGAAAAGCCTCCTGAACTGCATGAATCTTTTCAAGTTTTTCCCGAATCATATCTTAGTTTATAGTAATTGATGGCGGATCAACAAGTATGAACAAATGTTTTAAAGAAAGAATCCGATCTAATAAAATAACATTCTACAATGCGCTCCTTGTCAAAAAACATACTGGGCTTATTTGAGAATATCTAGTAAATTACATTGGCTTGAATTTTACTATTGCCGGCGAAATCATGATAATAGATAGTTTGACACTCAAAATGAATCTTCATTTTTAACACCAACAGATAATCGTTTTCATCCGGATCTTTTATATTTTTTATCAATAAATCGTATATTTTTTATAAATTTAATATTAAAATATCTAAATTATCTTTTTAGTACATACGTTGCTTTATGAATTTTCCAAATCCACATTTAGCATCTTTAAAATTCATTAAACGGACTCATTTAATCAAAATCATTTGCATTTTTTTTTTTTTTTGCAATCATCACTTAAATGATCGGCATATTTTAAAAATAAAAAATTTTTATCAAACCGATAATTTTTCATTATCTTGCTTGATTAGTGAGTAACCAAATATATACTTTTTGATTTCGGTAGATAAAACCAAAGATATAGAAAATGTCTTTAAAAACTTATTTAGATGAGGTTCAAAAATGTATTGACACGGAGGATGTTAGATGTAAGGAATTATTGAGTATAACTTTACCAAGGGTTAAAGAATTAGTTATTTTAATTGAGAAAATAGGTGTAAGCGATCTATTTTATTAGAATGATTGAATTGTCAACTATTATTGTCCTAATAATAAATTGATTGGTTGAATTAGGAGAGAAGAGTAGAAATTGAAACAAGAAGAATTTTACAAAATCCCCCATGGGAAGAAATTGTTATTCAATATTATAAAGTTTTAGTAGCATTAAAAAAAGAAGATTATATTGAAGCATTTAAAGAACAAAATACTTTGGCCATGTATCCTTTTTATTATTTTACCGTTTATCCAAGAAAAAGAGTTTGAATATGATGAATTATTACACTTAAAGAAAAAAGAAATTTTTTAAAGTTATTTCAAACACTTTCAAGATGGTCTTTACCTATTTTATATACTGTTTGTTTAGATTTGAGGAATCTTGCAATAATGGTGAATTTTTTGAATTTTATTGTTATATAACTACTACCGTGTGATGTATGTGAATGCTTGCAATATTTATAATATTTATTAATTGTTAAAATATTTTATTAGTCAGATATAATGTTTATGAGGCTTGGTAATGATCCAACAAATTTAGAGATAGCAGCAAGAACTATAAATAAGTCATTTGCAAGTTGTATAACGGACAGGTAAATTATATTTAAATTTATATATTTATATATATTTTATTTACATCTATATATATACATATAACATTGAAAAAAAATATAAATTATTAGGGCACCATCTAGTATTTCACGTAAATGGGGAACTTATTATATTGCGGGATTACTGTTTAAAACATATTTTAAGGTTAACTGCTAATAACCATAATATTATTTATTGATATAAATAATATATTTATTAAAAATTAAATAGTAATCTGTTTTTCTTCTTCTCAAACATAATAATAATAGTTGAAACAACAAAATTTATGTAAAAATGTAATGAAATCAATAAAAGCATCAGCAGATTTGCCTCCATTCTCGGAATTTCCTAAACCACACAAAGTTACGTTTTTATATTATCATGGACTATTATTATTTTTAGATGCTGATTATGCACTGGTATGAAAATTTGTTTTATTAAATAAATAAAGTATTACATTATACTATATTTGTTATACACGAAAAATTTACTTGATTAGTAATATAATGATTAAATTAGGCCGAAGAGAAATTTGTAGCAGCATTTAGGATGTGTCCAAAGAGCTCGTTTAAAAATAAAGAGTATGAGATTAATCATAATATTGCTTTATTAATATTTAAATGAAATTTTCTAATAATTCATCAATTCGTTTATTCATTAATTCATTCATTAATTATTTAATTAATTAGATTGATTTTAAGATATCTCATTCCAGTTTGGCTGGCTAAAGGAACTTTACCTTCAAAACAATTACTTTCCAGCTATCCTAGAATGTACAATATATATTCACCATTTATTGAATCAATTAGAGACGGTAATGTTAAGAAATTTGATGAATCATTAGTGTTGAAGGAAAAGTTGTTGGTTGCACAAAATACTTTTCTAACAGTTGAATTGGCAAGACAAATTGCTGTCAGAGTATTATTTAAAAAAGTGTACGTAGATATAAATAAATAGATAAGTGTTTATTATTTACTGATGTGTATACTTTTTTTATAGATATTTAATTAGAAATCGAGGAACTAGATTACCATTAGGAGTATTTCAGGCGGCATTAAAATTTGTTGGTATCGATATAGAAATGAAAGAAGTAATGTGGTACATGGCTTCAATGATTCAAAAAGTAAGAAGTGTTGCAATTTCATATTTATAATAGAAACACGTGATATAGTAATAATCATTATGATTTAATTAGGGACATATAAGAGGATATATGGCACATCAAAAACAATTTTTAGTGTTGAGTGAAGCAAACCCATTTCCGCCATTAGGAAACAACAATTTACCTGCATCTTCTACACCTTCATTTTTTTTAGCCAATAACAAATAAAATATAATTAATAAAAATAATAAAAAAATATATTTAAAAATTATTTACTAAAATCATTATTTATTAGTTATACAACAGTTATTAATCATTTATAACAGGTATAGATAATCAAAAGATTTTACAATTAATTATCTATCTAATTATTCTTCTTTTAAGACTTCTAGTATAAATCCTTTATCATCTTTACTATCAAGGCAAAAAAAAATTAAAGCTTTCCTATAATATTGTATCTTTTTTTGAAGTATTCGAACCAATCTTCAAGAACCTTTAACTATTGTTAATAAGTGATCACGTGGAGAAAAAGGAATCAATTAATTAAACGTTTCAAAAATTTCTTTCTTAATGTGAAAAGTAAAAAAAGACAAGTAATTACTTGTTTATCATCCAAACTACTATAATCTGCGATTACATCTTCTGGTTGTAATGAACCCATTCCAAGTGCCTAAATAAAAATCTATTAATATAATCTAACCTTTATAATTATAACAATAACAATAATATTATCATTATTAAGTTACCTTTGAAGCATCTTTACCAGCAAAAACATTATAACTTCCACCAGGTCCATAACTTTCTCTTTTAGTTGTTACATCAAAAATTGTACCTTTTATAGCTACATAAATTGGTTGACTTGCATCTGTACCATCATACTAATGTTTATATATATATATATATATATTCATCGTCATTATTACTAAATAAGATTATATATAAAAAGTAATAATATTTAATAAACAATTAATTTACCTTTGCAAGTTCTGCTGGTGTAAAAAGCGTATCTTTTGGTGGTTGTAAATTAGGATTGACGGAATCTTTTGATGGAGGTGGTTGACTAGAATGCAAGAAATATGAAAATTAACTTTGAAGAATGAAAAAAATGATATGATTGATGGTTTTTTTTTACCTCATTTTTTTCTTTGGCTTTTTTTCTTTATTAATTTATTTATGAAAATATAATTTATTTTTTTTTGATGAAAAGAGTTTTGATGAAAATAAATATTTGATTGTCTATTTATACTATTTGTGTATCACAAGACCAAATTTAATAGATGATGGTTCATTCATGTATATATCGTGAAATATCATAATTAAAGAAAAAAATTTCATTTTTATTATGCGTCAAGGTTTTTTTTTTTTTTTATCAATCCGTTTTTATCCGCTATTATTAATATCATATATAATGACATAATATAGTATTAGGTAATATTTATTATTATATACATATATTATTATGATCATCGTAAATATATTTTCCTAAAATCTGATAAAAATTAAAATAAACTTAGATTTTTTTTAATAAACAGAACACGCATAAAAATAAATAATATAATATAAATAACAACAATAATGTAATCATAATATATCCATTACTTTTCTCCGTTCATTCATTCTTTAAATCATTTACACAAAATTTTTTTTACGCCATCCCCTAAATAATCATAACGAATGATACATCGGATCAAATATATCAATTCGAGTAATAATTGATATAATAATGATGATAAATCATTTACGGTCACTGTAAATTAATTATATAAAATTAAAATTGGTGCAACTAACTATTAAATGATTGATTATTATTATGTATAAAAGAACTTTACGATCAGCCACTTCTATTGGATATTTTGAAGTGGATCTAAACTTTTTGGATAAGATGATTTGGAATATCACCAAAATGTAGTTATTAAAAAAAAAAAGTTATAGGAAGAAGGACTCTTATTATATCATGACCATGTGAAAAAAAATTCAAGGTGAACATTAATATATATATATTAGATTTCAAAGATAAAATTTAGCAATTGTACCACCATCAATGATTGAGAGAGGAATTGAATTAGAAGAAGTAAAAAAGCAAAGAAAATAGTAATAACATTTACCCAACAAGAATTTCATTGATTCGTTAGCATCCATCCGCATTAATTCGATCAAATTATAAAGTGAAGGTCGGACAGTTTTTCAGTTTTTTTTATGAGCAAAAGTAGCAGCTAAAAAATAAATTTTGATAAGTTTGCTTTCTCATAATTAAGTGATTTAGTGGCAGCAAAACTTCCTCTAGGGCTTAGTTTTTTCAATATTTTCGAAACAAATTATAAATATATTTGATCGGATTTTGGTCTTTCATTACTATGTTATCTTTTCATTATGATTATTTTTTCACGGTCTCTTTTTCTATATGTTCCTCTGAGGATACTTTTGAAAATCAAAAGAAGCAAAAAAGTAAATGGCGTCGTCAAAGCTTTCCCGGAATGGTAAAATATTTTATATATTCGTTGTCTTGGAATGTTCATTTGGTTTGTTTAGCATAAATACATTCTTCAATAAATTTAGTTTTAACTTGCGCATTCCTTTTTCTTGAATTCAAGCATCTACCTGTCTACCTATTAGGAATTCTAAAACACACTATCCTAAAGCTAAAGTAATTTTCACATATTCAATTAAAAGCACTTTGGCATCAACCAAACAATCAAGTTGGGGAACCAACAATCTAGGCTCCATATCTAAGTTGTTCCTCAATTCATCGTAGTTATATGATGCGACTTTATTGTATTGTAGAAGTATACTTGTTGTGCGTGAATTTGGAATCTGCGTCAATTTGAAATTCACACGCGTGAAATTCAAATGAGCCAATCAGAATTTTGTATTCAAATGCCCACCCCAAAATTTGTTTTACAAGCTATTTTAGTTTCTTTTTATAAATCACTATTAAACCAATTCTCAACTCGCAGGAAAATGAAGATAGTGAAAGTTTCTTACAATTCAATGTTGAGTTATACATTGGAGCCTAATAAACTATTTTCCACTTCGTTTATTTAGTTATTCATTTGGTGCACTATTTACAACATTGACTAACTTGTTCTTCTTTCACATATTTTATATTTTCTTCGACTATAATTGTCAAACACAAAAAAGCTGGTAAGATGATTTACTGCCATATCATTGTTACTGGTTGAGTTTTATGCTTAATTAGGTTTGTGTTATCAGCATTAGATTTCTCAACATGATGGATAAAAACATGCCAAATCTTTCAAAATGGGCAAAAGAGTGGACTAAGGATAGTAGGCGAAGAATGGACTTTGATTCCATAATCATCAACCAGCTAATGCATCTGACAGATATTTAAAACATTTATCAACTCGGTGCATGATTGTTGAATATCAAAGAGAGAACATGAACTTGTACTTGACCTGGCATCTATGGTGTACAGAGTATTTTCAGACGAAGATGAAAGGACAGATGCCTTTAGGCTCTGACTTAAGGTATTTTTTTGATAATAAAATGGATATTCGAAATAAGAGATGGAAGTATCTATCCGAAAATAGAGTTCTTTTGGCAAACTTAGAAGTTAAACCTGAGCCTGGTATGAATAATAGTTGTTATACTCAAAATGATGTCTATTAAAAGGAATTTGTAATCAAGCCTCGTAAACAGGAATCTATGTTTTATAATAACACCTTCCTGACCGCTTTTCTTATTAATCGAGAAGGTTTGTATATCTTTATATTTGTTATCACGAATCCCAGATGTACACCAATCTTAACAATACAGGACACAATTTATCAATACCTGGTGCTTTTCATTGCGTGTGACCATCTTACGGACATTTTCCCACCAGACATAATCATACTAAGGCAGATGACATTCCACAAGCATCTTTGCTCTAAAAAAGTGTTCACACGTATTGAAAGATTATTATAATTCTGTTTATGAGTCAAAAGCGATCCTTCTGAAGCTATTCACAATTTCTGGACATTAACTTCCATGCATCACTAAAAGAAGAAATGGCTGCCATCAAATACAAAAAATGATATTCTATACATCAAAATTTATGGATTGTGGAAATCCAGTCTGAAGATAAACAAGATAAGGGTTTAGCCAGAAATATTCTGAAGAAACATATATAAACTAGGTTTAGCACTCAAATTATGGAATATTTGAAGAGGTATGAAACACTAAATGCTCTTGATCCAGAAATATTTTCTCAGACAGAAAACATAGTTAGAAATGCTGTAAAGTCATTCCATGATTCTGGTTAATGAAAATATGGAAATGTACTATGATTGGGCAGGAAGAGAAGGGGAAGCAAAATATTCTGAAAGTCTGAACCCTAACTGGCATCCAGGTGCTGGCTGTCATAACCTCATCAAAAAGGGTCATAGTGAACATTTAGTTGATGATATTTATCGCAAGATAATGTATGATGAATCTCCAAAAAAGTGGCTGTCTCTCTCTGAGTGGATGAATTAACCATAAAAAATTTACAATATATATATATATATATAATGATCAATATTGAGTTAGCTATATATGTTTATAATTTTATTGATATTGGTTTCTATTATAATCAAAAAAACCCCTCTACTTTTAATTTAATTTAATTTTTTTAAAGAAGGATCTAGAACAAAAAAAAAGCATAGCAAAATGGATATGATAATGAGAATTGGAATTATCTATTTTCCAGGACAACAGCAAAACAAACTTCTCAGCAACAAACTTACACACAAGGATTTCAAATGGGCTCACGATAAATGAAAATTTCAGAATCAGTTTAATCTGATCAAATTGATTATATTAGTAGTAGTGATAATGATAGTGATAATTAGTTAATAATAATATAGTATAATAATTTCATCAAATATTATTATTAATATAATATTAACATTAAAAGATCAATTAAATTTAATATTTAACTTATTTGCCAATAAATAACAATATCAATAATATTCACCAATAAATAATATTTAATTCCATCACAAATAACTTCACCACCAATAAATAATTATTAAATCATTCCACAAATTGATAATTCTTTCATTTGTTGTAAGACAGTCTCAACCTTATTATCACTATCTGGAAAATGTTTTTGTAGGTCATTTAATCTATCGTAACTTTCTTGACAAAATTTCAATTGTATTTTCACAAGTGCTTCAAAAGATGGATCTATATATGGAACTCTTAGATCAATTAATTTAGGCAACTCTTCTACCAATTGTCCATTCAATGACTCATATTGTAATCTTGTCTCATTTAATGCTTCTTCTGCCTAGAAATTATATATAGTATAAATAAAAAATTAAAGACATATATTATAATAAATATGTTATTGTCTCATTCATTACTTACTCTTAATAATTTACTTGAATCTTCTGGTTTGTCGGATTTGTCAGATTTGTCAGACTTGTCAACCAATTTTCTAACTTTTGCACGTTGAGCATCATAATCCAATAATTTCTTGTCTCTTTTCTTTATTGCCTCATTTATTTCTGGGAAATATGCACAAAATCTTCCAATAGGATTAGTCACCGTATGTTTGTAAGGTTCATCCTATATAAGAATAAATAATGGATTAATATCACAGCTTAACATAATCTAATTATTATATTATGTAATATGATAATAATTAATTGAATTATTTGTTACAAACTAAATATGTTCTACAATTATGATCAATCAATTCAACCGTTTCTTTATATTTATTTCCAACAAAAATTGGCTCTGATGAATCTTCGTAAAATTGGTTAATTGTTTCTGCTATTTTTAATTGTGCTGTTGACATTGCTAATTAATTAATTTTAGATAATTTGAATTAATGTAAAGTTTGGAAAACTACAATGTCACAAATAAATTTATGCACTAACCATGCATGGATTCTAAATATCCTTTAGCTTCTTTATGAATTTTTTCAGCCTTTTGTTCAAGACTTTGAGGGAGAAATTAAAATTATAACAATTATGATAATTAGAATTATTAGAATAAATCTTGCAATCAAAAAAATCATACAAACTTTTTTATTCGTTTCTCCTCTTCGTCAAAATTTTTATCAATCTACAATTTTCATTATTAATAATATTATTATTCATTATTCATTATTATAATATTTAATAATGCAATGCAATGCTAATAATTACTTACCGTTTTCTCGATTGTGCCAATTTTTTGTGATAACTACTCAAAGTAAAAGCAAATAAATTATTAATTAACATGATTCCTGATGCGTCTTTTTCAATTAATTATTACCTTGGTTTGTGTACGATCAATTTTCTTTTTAAATCCAGACCTAAATATAATCCAAAATACATATTATATATAAATATAAACAATTGTTAGAAACAACCTTGAAAAAAGAAACTTACCAACTCATTTTCTTTTAGTTGATTGCAAAAAATTATAACGGCAATAATTTATTATTTATATAAATCAAAATAATTATATGCAACAACATTACACGAAATGCGTTAAAAAAAAACAAAAAACCGTGTAATAGCAGCGGGAGGTTTCGATCCTCCGACCTCGGGGTTATGAGCCCCGCGCGCTTCCTCTGCGCTACGCTGCTTAATTACAAAATTTTCCTTCAATAATTTCTTATTATTCATGTTACAATTACAAAATATATTCTTGTATCACGTCAATCTCTAAAAAAATGGATTCCATATATATAATGAATTTAATACTTGGCTATAAAAGGTTTTGCAAAAGTTCATAAAACAACATCTTACGTAATTCCAAAAATAAGATTTCATAAGAGTTAAATATTTTTATTATTGTTAAATAAAAATTTATCATAAATATTAGATTAATTTATTGCAGTCAAACCTCGATAAGCCGAACTTTTGGGAATCACAAAAATATCAACATTCGGTTTATGAAAAATGATTATTATTATTATTAATTGCCTAAATAAAGATGTATAAAATAATAAATTTTATTTGCGAATGATTTGGGTGATTGACAGAGGAGTAAACCGAATTTTATCATTATAAGACGAATTTTAAAACCAATTTACGATCATCGCAGTCGCGTTTACTTCGTCGAAAATTATTTCGTCGACAATCATTTCGTCGACACCCATTTCGTCGAAAGTTTGTTTCATCGAAAGTTCATTTCGTCGAATGTTCATTTCATCGAATGTTCGTTTCGTCGAATGTTCGTTTCGTCGAATGTTCGTTTCGTCGAATGTTCATTTCGTCGAAAATTATTTCATCATCGAGCCAGAGACCGAACGAGTTAGATGTAAGGAGTGTGGGAAGTTAGCTAAGAAATTAAGTGAAGAAAGCGGTGTGTGTGGGAAGTGTGAGGAGAATTTGTTTAATGAAGTTTTTTTAGGTGACGAAATAATTTTCGACGAAATGAACTTTCGATGAAATGAACTTTCGATGAAATGGGTGTCGACGAAATGACTGTCGACGAAATGAATCAGACCCCATAATCACAAAATTTAGAATTTGTTATATCAAACTTATTTATTCTTAAATATAAACTAATTTTGGATCCCACATCCTCATCATCTAATATACTGCTTCTGATTAAATGTTGACCATATCTAGATTTAGGAACATCACCATATTCTAAAAAAGTCTTTTATACATCTTGAAATCACTTGTCTTTCTTCATAAGATCAGGAACTATTTCACTGGCTTCAATTTTTGCATATATTATTTGGGTTATGGTGATTTTGCATTTCATGATAAACCACAAAATTAAAAAATTTTTTTTATATA